CGGGTTGCCTCGCTTCTGTCAGTGTGTCCCAGGGCAGCTGCAGCCCTGGATGGAGCGAATGAATAATGTGTTTGTGAGAAAAGAGCTGCTTGAAACCATCTTCACTACAGTCTGTGTTTTTTGTTTCAGGGAGATCCGGGGAAACAAGGGGATCCTGGCCGAGATGTGAGATGAGTTTATCCATTTTTAACAAGTGAATTGATAGATAATAACCTTAACATTATTGTATTGAAAGAGTCTATTCTGCTGCTTTTACTGGTCATGAGCTTGCCGCAGATGTGACTAATACAGACTGGCTTGTGTTATAAAGATAGATATGATTAACATGACTAACGTGTGGTTAACATCAGAGCTTCCAGAGCAGTCATTTCGACAGCTCCCATTCAAATCAGTAGAAATCTCCTAACTACTGCACGTAAACGGTGTGTTGCTATGGTAACGAGTCAGGTCAGAACCAGGACTAGCGACTGATTAAAGCAACATTCAGGGAGTTAAAGGTAAAACTTCAACATTTCAAAAATAAAAGATACTGTGTATGTTCCACACACATAATGACATAGAAATAAACTACATATAGAAAAAGATATAGCTGTGTGGACCAAAAATGTACACGCGTTGAGAATTCAATCTTCCAAAAATAAAAAGCCGTCAAATTGACTGCTAGTTCTAGTGGTAAATGAAATATCGTATGAGTTTTGAGTATGGTTTTTCTGAGTCAAAATAAATCTTGAGCGCTTGTTTTCGATTCACCAACAACAGATGCGAGAATCAAGCAGACCAAAAACAGGAAGTGCGATAACAGCAAACACGTATGAGCCATGGGTCCGTAGGGGGCGGGATGACCACTGTCCAGAAATGTTAACAAACGTTTGAAAGTTATGCAGATGAATGACGAAGGATAAACATATACTTAGAACAAACATGTGAACTTCCACCCCCCCTACACCCCCCCTCGTCTTAAGCCTCTGAGTCATCCCGTCTTTAACCTTTATTGCAGAAATACATTGACTCCTCTCTCGCTCCTTGCTGCCATATGCGTCACAGAGTTTTTTTAGCTCGGAGCTTCAGATGGAGCTGTGTGGAGGTGTGAGAGGTCCCTCCCTGCTGCGAACGCCAGGAGAAACACTCACTGCTGAATCTGTCCTCGCCAGATCATAACAAACACACACACAGGGAGATCAGGGATGGGACAGCAAGCGGGCCGTCCCACTGCAGGTCTTAAGATCAGTCTGCTGTGTGCGGGGGTACTGCTTTTTTGTTAACACTTGGGCTCCTAGAATCCTGAATCTATTAGAACTCCCACAGCCATCATTTTTGACTGCAGCCAGAGAGAGCCCAGAGACCAGAGAGAGAGGCCAGAGAGAGAGGCCAGAGAGAGAGGCCAGAGAGAGAGACCAGAGAGAGAGACCAGAGAGAGAGAGACCAGAGAGAGAATAGAGAGAGGCCAGAGAGAGAGACCAGAGAGAGAGGCCAGAGAGAGAGACCAGAGAGAGAGACCAGAGAGAGAGACCAGAGAGAGGCCAGAGGGAGGCCAGAGAGAGAGGCCAGAGAGAGAGGCCAGAGAGAGAGACCAGAGAGAGAGACCAGAGAGAGAGAGACCAGAGAGAGAATAGAGAGAGGCCAGAGAGAGAGACCAGAGAGAGAGGCCAGAGAGAGAGACCAGAGAGAGAGACCAGAGAGAGAGACCAGAGAGAGGCCAGAGGGAGGCCAGAGAGAGACCAGAGAGAGAGACCAGAGAGAGAGACCAGAGAGAGAGACCAGAGAGAGAGACCAGAGAGAGAGACCAGAGAGAGAGACCAGAGAGAGAGACCAGAGAGAGAGACCAGAGAGAGAGACCAGAGAGAGGCCAGAGGGAGGCCAGAGAGAGACCAGAGAGAGAGACCAGAGAGACCAGAGAGAGGCCAGAGCGAGGCCAGAGAGAGACCAGAGAGAGAGACCAGAGAGAGAGACCAGAGAGAGAGACCAGAGAGAGAGACCAGAGAGAGAGACCAGAGAGAGAGGCCAGAGAGAGAGACCAGAGAGAGAGGCCAGAGAGAGAGACCAGAGAGAGAGGCCAGAGAGAGAGGCCAGAGGGAGGCCAGAGAGAGAGACCAGAGAGAGAGACCAGAGAGAGAGGCCAGAGAGAGAGACCAGAGAGAGAGACCAGAGAGAGAGGCCAGAGAGAGAGGGGCCAGAGGGAGGCCAGAGAGAGAGACCAGAGAGAGAGACCAGAGAGAGAGACCAGAGAGAGACACCAGAGACTGAGTGGCTGAGTGGATAGCACTCTCGCCGAGTGGATAGCACTCTCGCCTCTCAGCAAGAAGGTCCTGGGTTCGAATCCCGGTCGGACCAGGGCCTTTCTGAGTGGAGTTTGCATGTTCTCCCCGTGTCTGCGTAGGTTTCCTCCGGGTACTCCGGTTTCCCCTACCACTAAAAACATGTCCAATAGTTCTGGCATGTGCCTCCTGTACCGGCGACCCCGCTCCCATCTCTGTGTGGAGTGAGAGACAAATGCCCAAAAATTAACAATTGTAAACCGCTTTGAGACTCAGATCTGCAGTGAAAAGGCGGTATATAAATAAAAACTTACTTACTTACTTACTTACCAGAGAGAGAGGCCAGATAGAGGCCAGAGGGAGGCCAGAGCGAGAGAATAGAGAGAGAGGGACCAAAGAGAGAGACCCATTATCTCATAGGTTTTAAGGTTTCATATAAGGTTTTTCTTTCTCATGTTCTCCCCATCTTAAAGCTCATGTGTGTCTGTATGTGCGTTTGTGTGTGTGTGTGTGTGTGTGCGCATGTGTTTGTGTGTGTGTGTGTGTGTGCTTGTGTTTGTGTGTGTGCGTGTTTTTCAGGGCTTACCAGGACTGCGTGGGGAGCCTGGACTCACTGGCCCCGCTGGTCCTACTGGTTTGGCCGGAACACCTGTAAAAACACATTCACACATTAATATATCTTATTCTCAATATTTTAAAGTTCTTAATATTGGTGTCACTGCTTTTTTGTCAGGGGAAAGCTGGTGAAGATGGAAAACCAGGTCTCCCAGGAAAACCGGTATTTTAGAATAAAAATTACTTTTCCCCATCCCCAGGGCAGGAATACATATGGCATATAACAAAATATATAAAAGTCTGTTAAAGTGTTAAAGCCCACACCATAGTAGACATATGGTGTCAGAGACCAGCGAGAGGAACAAGAGAGAGAGGCCAGTGAGAGGCTAGAGAGAGATCTGAACGAGAGACAAGAGAAAGTGACCAGAGAGACACCAACAAGAAAGAAAGAGAGAGAGGCAAGAGAGAGAGAGAGACCAGAGATAGAGGCCAGAGAGAGAGAGGCCAGAGAGAGAGGCCAGAGAGAGAGAGGCCAGAGAAGGAGGCCAGAGAGAGAGACCAAAGAGAGAGAGAGATGAGAAAGAGACCAGCGAGAGAGAGGCCAGAGAGAGAGATGAGAAAGAGACCAGAGAGAGAGACCAGAGAGAGAGAGGCCAGAGAAGGAGACCAGAGAGAGAGACCAAAGAGAGAGAGACCAGAGCAAGAGACTAGAGAAGCTAGATGGATAAGTACTTTATTGTCAGACACAAGGGTCCAAATTTTGCTTTGCACAGTTCAGCAGCTTCATTCAACATAACATGTAAACTCATACACATACCGAACAAGACAAGAAAAAGACTAGAGAGACAGACCAGAAAGAGAGACCAGAGACTAGAGAAAGAGATCAGAGACCAGAGAGAAAAACCAGTGAGATCTCTGGTATCTCTGGTCTCTCACCAAGATAGAGAAAGCTGGAGAGGATAGAAAACCAGGTCTACAGGAAAAGCGGGATTTTGTATGTGCACTTTATTTGTATGTGCATTTTCTTTTTTAGAATAATCATCCCCAAGGTGAGAGACTTTTGTTAAAGGCCAGCAGAAGCACTTGTCTGGTTATAAATTAAAAAATAAATATTTACAGTAACACACCTTAGTAGACATATGGTATACGTTTGATCAAATATTTACATCAATATCTCTTTACATTAATAATTGACTCAAATGTCTGGTCTTCACTTTCAGGGTGAAGACGGTGAACCGGGAGAAGATGGAAGAAAGGTCTGTGACAAAATATTACAAAAATATGTTTAAAATATTAGTGCTGAAACCTGATTTAAAACACTTTAAAGGGAGACACCCCTTTAAACAGCAAAACCTGTCTATATCTTTAAACTTCTGTAATGTATCAGTTTGAAATTGTATGAAAACTGCGGTACAGACAAGTTTGGACACACCTTCTTATTCAAAGAGTTTTTTTATTATTTTTTATGATTATGAAAATTGTAGATTCACACTGAAGGCATCAAAACTATGAATTAACTCATGTGGAAAAATATCTCATATTCTGGGTTCCTCAAAGTTGCACCTTTTGCTCTGATTACTGCTTCACTCTTGGCATTCTCTTGATGAGCTTCAAGAGGTAGTGACCTGAAATGGTCTCCAACAGTCTTGGAAGGAGTTCCCAGAGGCACTTGTTGGCCCTTTCACCTTCACTGTGTGGTCCAGCTCACCCCAAAACCATCTGGATTGGGTTCAGGTCCGGTGACTGGAGGCCGGGTCGTCTGGCCCAAAAAGTAATTGTACTTCCAAAACTTCCAAAGCCGTCTAATTGACTGTTACTGTTGAGGAGAGAGGAACACACCTCTTTAGAGAGAAAATCTCCAAACTCGGGTTAGAATAAAAGGATCTTTGTCCAAACACCTAAAAGACCAAAGACTCATGTGTGGTCTGTGTGTGGTCGACCTTTGAAAGATGTAATGACAATAACATAATTCAAAGTTTAGTGTTTAGTCTGGTGTTCTACAATCTTTGAGAGGAACGACTGGGATTGTTCTAACACAGTTTTGCCAGTGTCCTGCTGCAGCCCTGGAATGAAAGAGCTTTACAAATATCACCAGTTGGATTGTTTTGTCTTATTCCATTGATTCCAGTTTTCTCCGGTCTGTTTGCTTCACAGGGCGACAAAGGAGAAGCTGGAGCGGCTGGACGAGATGTAAGTTTGCTTCATTTATCTTTGATGTATTTGAGCTGAGGACAAGTCTCTGCAGCGATTGTGCCCCCTCTACTTTTGTTACTCTTCACTTTTCTTTTTCCATTTTCAAAAATGTGTAATTGGTGCGAGGCAAATGTTTTGTATTGAACAGTTCACACACATCAACTCAAATACTGAACAAAACAAGAAAAGACACATTAAAGTCATAAATAATTACGATGCATTCAAAAGAGTGAGTATAAGACAATAATTTGTCTACTCTCATCTTCTATAACAGAGCTTTCCCTAGAAACAGTACTTAAAATCATACTCCAAACTTGGCAACAATGATACTAAGAGGTACTGTATATATGGGCTATACTATGGCATGTTATACATAATTATAAAGCTAATCATCTCAAGATCAAGTTCAATCTTTGAACCTATAACACAATTCATGATAATAATCTGTGCTTTATCAGTGTGTATTGTCCAGGCTTTATTTCTTTTTGTCCAGTTTTAGTTCCTCATTTTGTCCAGATAAATCATACAGTGTGACAAAAGTACAATACATTTCAATTGAAAACGGACAAAGAAAAGACAAACACATGAGAGACATGATATTAAAAAAATTAGGAAAAATAAATGATGAAAATAAATGCCAAACCAGACAGTTTTAAACCTGTACTTAAAGAGCGACTAAACACCTGTGCCCAGCCTTACTCCGCTCACATGAAGATTTGAAAATGTTCTCTTAAAAGGGCGTTGCCTGGAGGACCAAGGGACAAGAAGAGGGGCTTAGAGTTGGGCGTGGTCTGGGCTGTAATTGACAGCTCACTTGTCACACACAAAAAAAAACAGACAGTTGTCATTGCTGCTTAAAGCAATAGTTAACAGACCAGAAAGTCTCATTCCACCCTTGTTTACACACTAAGATAATTGTAAAGCTACACACCTGAACCTAATCACACTCAATAATCTCAGAATGACTCATGTAATTTAATTTTAATCCACTAGATGGCGCCAGAATACTCCAAATTGCAGCTGGGGCGTGTGTGAGAGTTGGATGGGTTCACATCACTGGCTCTGACAGACTGACGTCACACAAAACAACTGATGTCATAGAGAACTTCAGAGTCAATGGAGAGGCCAGAACCAAATTCAAATGTAGTACCACCAAAAAGGTTGAGAGGGCGCCACACAGCGTTTTTTGGCTCAAAAGTGATATTTTATCTAATTTGAACTAAAATGTCAAAAAAATGACCAGGATATGTAGACAGCACTACAATAAACATACTTATGCAGTTTATGAGTTAAAAAAAGTTGATTTGGTGTTTAGTCGCTCTTTAAAGTGATAGTGTGTAACTCTAAATTCATTACAAATTTTAGGAAATGTGGTAAATTGACCTCCTGGCCTTAAATGTTGATATATAATAAGTCGATTTATTAATTCTAATATTACGGGTAAGTCCCGCCTTCCCTTCTCTTAGCTATAGCTCAGAATCCACGATGCCGTCGAGGTTAACCAATCGAGTCATGCCAAGGGCTGTCAATCATCAGCGCTGATGCTCGCAGCTGCTCATGCTCAGTTGTTTGTTTTCGCGGAGTCTCCGGAATCAAGCCTCTATTAGGATCTGGAACTACATGAAAACTGAACAAATAATTCTGAACATCCGCGCTGAGGTACCCATTTATATACTGAACCTATATCTATAATCATTTATATACTGAACCTATATCCATAATCATTTATATACTGAACCTATATCCATAATCATTTATATACTGAACCTATATCCATAATCATTTATATACTGAACCTATATCCATAATCAGATCCTCTGCAGGTGTAACCTATAATGTGCAATTCATGATACTAGCACTTCCGGGTTTGCCGCGATCGCTTAATTCTGAAAACCTCCGTGCATGTGTATTAATAATGTATATGTATAATGTGTTCTCTGATAAACATTTAAAAGTGTTACGGAAACGTAGGTGTAGACCAATCAGAAAGGAAGGGGAAGGAGCTTGCGTCGTTTTTTTCAAATTAAGCACATCTCTGTCTCTCTTTCTGACAGACTCCAGACAATCACTTTAAGCATTGCAATTGCATCTGTCAATTTTTTCACTTTTATTATTGCTATTAACTGTTTTTGCTTTTAACTTTGTACATTTTGTAAAGGGACCTCTAGTGCCCAGAAAAGTATTATTACTTTTAATATTTGATCGAAACATGTGTCATTATAAGTAACAAAAGTAACTCTCACATCAGAATACTCGAGGGGGAACAGACGTGAGAACCCGACCTTACTGTATGTACCATATTATTACACTACAAAACTCAAGAGCAAGATAATGATTCATCTAAAGCAGAAAACTCCAAATCGAGGCCCGCGGGACAAATGTGGTCATGTCATGTGGCCCTCTGCCGCTAACACAAACTAGTCATTGAGGCACCTTCATAGTGTCATCCAGCAAACTTCAGCTTCACCTACAGTGGGGCAAAAAAGTTTTTAGTCAGCCACCGATTGTGCAAGTTCTCCCACTTAAAATAATGATAGAGGTCTGTAATTTTCATCATAGGTACACTACAACTGTGAGAGACAGAGTGTGAAAAAAAATCCAGGAAAACACATTGTAGGATTTTTAAAGAATTTATTTGTAAATTATGGTGGAAAATAAGTATTTGGTCTATAACAAAAATTCAACTCAATACTTTGTAATATAACCTTTGTTGGCAATAACAGAGGTCAAACGATTACTATAGGTCTTTACCAGGTTTGCACACACAGTAGCTGGTATTTTGGCCCATTCCTCCATGCAGATCTTCTCGAGAGCAGTGATGTTTTGGGGCTGTCGCCGAGCAACACAGACTTTCAACTCCCTCCACAGATTTTCAATGGGGTTGAGGTCTGGAGACTGGCTAGGCCACTCCAGGACTTTCAAATGCTTCTTACGGAGCCACTCCTTCGTTGCCCGGGCGGTGTGTTTGGGATCATTGTCATGCTGGAAGACCCAGCCACGTTTCATCTTCAAAGCTCTCACTGATGGAAGGAGGTTTTGGCTCAAAATCTCACGATACATGGCCCCATTCATTAGAGGTGCAACGGTTCATCACTGATCCGTGATCCGTTCGGTTCAACGTCTTCGGTTCGGTACAGACGTTATCCGCGGTTTGATTTATGAAAAAAAAGTTGTGCGCACGTTGTTCAGTCCACACACAGCGCGGTCATTGCGAGCGGAGGAACGGAGATGCTTGAAAGCCCCGCGTCATTTAAATCCCCAGTATGAGAGCATTTTGGCTTCACTGTAACTACACTGATAATTAATATTCGACAAAACTGTCACGATGTGTAAGCACTGTGGCACAAGAAAGACATGAGTGAAAAAAGCGTCTCAACGACCGCTTATTGTCGCGGCATTTAAGCAGCTCCTTTACGCACAGTCAGACCGGGCTAAAGTCAACTCTCCCGCGCATCCTCAGCTCAGCTCACGACTGACGCTTGGACGTCCCGCGGAACCTATAATAGATCCATGAGCAGAACCGCTCACTTCATCACCGCAGACTGGGAGATGAAAAGTCTGGCGCTGCAGACACGCCCCCTCTACGACAGTCACACTGTCACCCAGCGCAGGTACTGACACAAGCAGCAGAGGAATGGAAGACAAAGGCCCAGTACTAATATCCCAGTCACAACTGATAATGCCAAAAATTAAATAAATGCAGTGAATGAGGCTGGGCCCAGAATGGAGCGCCTCCTCGAATCAGGAAGGTGGTGTAATATATGAGAGTAAATATCCTCATAAAGTGCCTTCTTATGTTGCACTTTGTGTTGTTTTTCATTAATTATGTTAAATAGACATAATTGGATGGATGGAATATTCCATCCATCCATCCATCCATTTTCTTCCCCTTAATTCATTTCTAGGTCAGGGGGGGCAGTCAGAGCAGGTGCCGAGTCCACATGAGCTGTGTTTATTAAAAAGACAACACTTTTTTTTTGAAAAATGAACCGAAAAATGAACCGAACCGTGGCCTCTGAACCGAGGTACGAACCGAACCGTGATTTTTTCAAACCGTTGCACCCCTACCATTCATTCTTTCCTTAACACGGATCTGTCGTCCTGTCCCCTTAGCAGAAAAACAGCCCCAAAGCATGACGTTTCCACCCCCGTGCTTCACAGTAGGTATGGTGTTCTTGGGATGTAACTCAGTATTCTTCTTCCTCCAAACACGACAAGTTGAGTTTATATCAAACAGTTCTACTTTGGTTTCATCTGACCACATGACATTCTCCCAATCCTCTGCTGTATCAGCCATGTGCTCTCTGGCAAACTTCAGACGGGCCTGGACATGCACTGGCTTCAGCAGGGGGACACGTCTGGCACTGCAGGATTTGATTCCCTGTCGTCGTAGTGTGTTACTGATGGTAACCTTTGTTACTTTGGTCCCAGCTCTCTGCAGATCATTCACCAGGTCCCCCCGTGTGGTTCTGGGATTTTTGATCACCGTTCTCATGATCATTTTGACCCCACGGGATGAGATCGAGGGAGATTATCAGTGGTCTTGTATGTCTTCCATTTTCTGATAATTGCTCCCACAGTTGATTTGTTCACACCAAACTGATTGCCTATTGTAGATTCACTCTTCCCAGTCTGGTGCAGGTCTACAATTCTTTTCCTGGTGTCCTTCGACAGCTCTTTGGTCTTGGCCATAGTGGAGTTTGGAGTCTGACTGTTTGAGGCTGTGGACAGGTGTCTTTTATACAGATAACGAGTGGAGGACAGAAGAGCTTCTTAAAGAAGAAGTTACAGGTCTGTGAGAGCCAGAGATCTTCCTTGTTTGAATTGACCAAATACTTATTTTCCACCATAATTTACAAATACATTATTAAAAAATCCTCCAATGTGAATTCCTGGATTTCTTTTTCACATTCTGTCTCTCACAGTTGAAGTGTACCTACCCACTAAGCAAGCCGACGTTGAATCAACGTAATTTGAACGTCGTTGTCCGACGTAGA